GAGTGCGTGTGAATAGCTGGAGCCCTTAAGAGCCGGTTGCCCCGGTGCGTGCCCCCATGTCTGGTAGCTGTGCTCGTAGCTATGCAGCTTGGGCGGTGTGTGGGCAGAACTTGGTGAATCACAACAGTAATTGAATTGCCAATGTCAAAACCAGACTGGAGATCTGAGGCATGCACAGGAGCTCACCATAGCATGGCCAGCTCTAATTGCATTGAATTACGCAGAGCTTTGCTGTTCGGCGAGGAATCTCACAGAGCTTCGCCCGCTGACCCTGGCTCCTTGAAATGGATCATGCGCCTGATCTGCTGGGTGCCTGATCTGCTGACCTGTGCTAGCCTACCTTCCTGTAGAACCACAGCAAGTGAGCAAGTGTGACAATGTACTAAGACCAAACAGGTATAAACATGTCAAATGATCAGTTGGTTCTTCAGATTTGGTTTTTATATGTCAAGAGGACGTGCTTAGTCCACATGGCTGACTCGTTGCACTGCCCTCTTGTTCCGCCAACGACATGGCGTTTCCGGTGCTTCCAGACTCGGTGCCGCTGCTCTTGGGCCATGTTAGGGGTCCAAGGGGTCCTGGCGGTTGAACTGCAGCCAATGCGGACGGTTTAACTCATGAGAGGGGAAGGAAGGAGGTTGGAACCTCCTTTGATGATGTCGAGATGACCAATGAGTCCAATGAGGATTGGAACTCTTGTGCTGCTTGTCAAGTAGGGCGGGTAAAGTATCCATATCAACTGATCGTGTTATGAAAGGCTACCAAATCACGGTAGTTATGCCATCGCATGGTGCACTCCCCTTAGCCAGTCCGATCTCATGAAAAGGACATCCGCCCGAGGCACAAATCAACAATTGCTTGACACATGCAACTTGTGTATTTGCAAGTGTGTGCCCGTTGCGCTTCACACAAAGGAATATAAATAAATAAAAACACCATTCAGCCAGCAGCTGCGCACCGATTTTGCACACCAATTTGACCAGAAAGCGGACCTGGAAATCAGAGCGTGTCGCCTCAGAAGAGCGACGGCCTCAGCGAGGTTGCGCTGGTTGCGCTGGACCGGCATGATGAGGTGGCATGAGGTGGCAAGGGAACCAAACCACGTTGACCCCTGATTCCATTCGCTTCCAACTGTGCCTGAGCTACATGGTAGGCTATGTCAGCAGGGTTCTTTGCACCAAAGCCATATACTGAAGCCAGAGGAATACGTGCAGTCGAAGAGGTTGCCCTGTGGATGGTGAGAAGGTCCTAAGGTCCTTATGAAGAATAGGCACGTCCTCCATGTTCAAAGTTGGAGAAGGATACCAAAAGTATAAGAACCTGTACCAGGACCTTCCAACAGGTTACCACCTGCGACTTTGAAGTCTCCAAAAGCCACCAGAGGAGACCTGTTGGAGGGTGCTGGTACTGAAAAGTTTCTTTTTTGTGCTTCTATGATCCCAAACCTCCCAGAAGGCGCAACCGAAGGCACGCGCACGTTGTTTGCATTTTCTGACCGGGCGATCCGGCGGAGAAGGACGTCTTCTCAACTAAGCAGGCTTCATCCACTAGTAGCTTCGTGCTAGTAACAAGTGCATCGCTACTTGACTAACAAGCACATTACTACTAGTAATAACAAGAGGCTAATAGAAGCTACTGGTAGCGATGCCCTTGTTACATCGTCATCGTTAGTGGCATGTTTCACCAGTCTTTGGAGTCTCCGTCTTCTGCCCCGGCTGCCGGCTTCCACCAGTCCACCTGCTTGATTGGGATGGACCATCCCCCCGAAAAAGGTTTTGCAGGTTGATCCGTGGTTCTCCAGTGACTGGCTAGGGAAGTCTTCTCCCTCATGTCGCCTGGATGATCAACTGATAAACCAGCTTTAGGATGCTTTAGGGACGTGACGGTGACATGACGTGGACCTGCCCACCAGGTCAAGCTGCACTGAGGGTTTTGAAAATGATGCTCTATGCAGTCACTGCTACGCCCTCGGAAGCCGCTGAAATGCACCCGACATCGGCCGTCACACGCCTCTCCTTGAGGCTCCCAGCTTTCCTCGACCTCTGCCACCTCTGCCACCTCTGCCACCTTTGCCCTGGCCCTTGCGAAGTTCATCGACTCGGTCGAGGGATCTAATCAAAGACTTTGAGAATCCACGGGTCTTGGTCTTGATGATGCTGTACCTCTTCCAGGTTCTTTCGCTGGTGAGGCCGGGACATGCTGGGGCCCGAGCAACAGTACATACAGTTACATACCTAAATATATTAGTAATATTTAATTATAAGTTATTAGTATGTTATAGAGGAAACAGTGACTGAATTGCTTTCGATGTGACGTTTCCTGCCCGACATCTACCCCAGGAACCGGAACCCGAACAGGCTCCAGGAATCGCCGTGTTGTCACAAGCTCGGCCCCAGGTGGCCTGGTGCTATGCCTGGTGCTATGCTAAGCTGCTGATCCATCCACCCTTTGGGAGGTCTTAAGAACACGACTGGCCTTGGCTGATTTCATCCGGCCCAGTTGATTAGGGCTATTCCACCGGCTTCGTTTGGTCCATCTCTGAAAGGTGTTGAAAGACGTGGCGAATTGCGCTGCGCCGCTGCACGGCATTGACCCAATCACCCTCACGCCGTAGCCCCATTGCGCCCGTGATGCCCCTGTGCGTTGCCGCGCCTTCTTCTTGGGGCCGAAATTCGACTGAAAGGCCTTGGGCATTTTCACTGGAGCGGGCTCACGTGAAGTGCTTTTTTCAAGCGAGCTGGGGCAACAGGATACAGACTCGGAGGGCAAGGCCTCTCTTCCACACTCCTGGAATCTGGCCTCAAAAAACTTAAATGTTTTGTGTAGGAAAGGTCGCCGGAAAAAGAAGATGGTTCAGATTTGAGCCAGTTCTGTCAAGTTCTGAGGTGTGCTCACTAGAACTGGCAGCCCGTCACCAGACCCAACTCTACGGCTTCAGAACAACAACAACAACAACAACAGCTGAGATCCGTTTGGACTCAGTAGTGGCAATGCCTAAGCCTATGGATGGTCAGCAGCGGCCAGTAAAGAAACATGTGATGCAGTGGTGTTTTGCGGAAATTGGAACAGCACGAGAATTGAAGAAACCTGCCCGACCATGGCTGCAATGGCACCATCTGGTCACCCACTGGCTAAAGAAAAATAACTGGACCGAAACCCTTTGGGACACTCCAGTGCACCGAGGATGGTTGATAGATGTTGATAGATGCTGATCGCATGATAGCGCTACTCCAACAAAGACGGTTTTTGGCCTACAGGAGCTTTCCTGGTGATCTAGGCGGCTCATCACGGCGCGCTCGCGCGGCTCATCACCCAGAAGCAATTACAGTAGATGATCCGTATATATCAGATGGCACTGGAGGTCTACATAAACCACCTCCATCTGGAGATCCACCTCCATCTGATGGCCACTGTAGTGGACCACCCCTCCAATATCGGTCACAACGGTCCAAAGCAGCCACTTTCTGAAAGCCCTCTAGGAAAGACACCCCACGTCAACGGGTAGAATCTCTCCCTGGCTGTGTTGGAAAAGGGCCAAGCAAAACAAAGAACCGAGGACAGGAGAACCGCCGACGTTCCATTTCACATCATGACAAGCGAAGGCCTGGCCACTTCCTGGACTCATCATGACCCACCTGTTTGCAGAGGAAAATAGTCATCCAAAAAGCCATGGCATTTCACTTCCATGACTATTCCAGGAGTTTGGAGAACGCTTGGAGACGCTGCTTGCAGAGAAACCTTTTGGCCTCGCGTGTTTGAGGCGACTCACACTCGCTCGAGTACGCGCCCTCGTCTCGACGAACTAACACACGGAGGCTGAGCCGTCCGACTCATTGGCCCATGACACCTCTACACCTCGTGCCAGAGACTCTGGAGGTTCACATGACGCCCCGGCCGCTGGTTCCTGTCCGCTCCCTGTTGCACCAGGAACCGCGCCACGTCGAAACGCCCGGCAAAGGCCGCTGCAAAGAGTGGCGTGATGCCTTCGGCCGCTTGGTCTTTATCTGCCCGGCATTCCACCAGCAGGCTGACCAATCTCAGGTGCCCACGCGAGGCAGCCACGTAGAGCGGGCTCGCCCCGCTTTGGGCGCTACTGTTGATGCAAGCGCCTCGGAGTGGTAAAAGGAGTCAAGATGGGACCTTGGGGGTGCGGATTGCGGGGCGGACTTCGGGTCTGTTCGATGCAAAGAGTATGTCCGTCCAACGGTGTCAACATCGCTACGTCCAACGACGTCACAGGTCATGTCTCCTTGAGGTTGAACTTCTGCCCCCGATGTCATGTTCCGCCATGGTTCTGCAAAGGTTGGAATCTCTTTTTTTGGGGGATCAAGCCTGGGAGGCCATCGCTACTAGGTTGGAGGCCATCCCTACTAGGTCGGAGGTCATTGCTATCATCGCTACTAGGTGGAGGCCATCGCTATTAGGTTAAGATCAACCCTGGCTCCTGCATCAATCAGCACGTGAACCGCTTCTAGATGTCCATTCTCTGCGGCGCTGTGGAGCGGGGTGTAGCCGCTCTCATCAGCCTTCTCCATGTCAGCCCCGGCATCCGTCAGCACCCGAACACCTGTCGCATAGCCATTGGTGGCAACCATAAAGAGCGGTGTCTCCTGCCTCTTGTTTGTGGCATCCTTGGAAGCTTTGGCTTCAATCAGCAGCCTCATCACCTGTAAATGCCCACTCTCCGTGGCCCAAAGCAGGGGTGTGAGGAAGTCTTCGTCTAAGGCATCAACCTTAGAAGTTGCATCTGATTTGCGGGGATCGGCACAATGGCAGAACAATTGACGAAACATCCCTATGAGTAGCCTCCAACCTACTTGCGATGGCCTCCGCATGCCTCCACCTAGTAGCTTCGAACTACTAGTAGCTTCATGAGTAAGGGGGTTCCCGACAGAAAGGCACCAAAGTCGAACCCACTCATCACTCCTCCTATCTCCTCCTTAAGCAAGCCCAGGCAACGTCCGCCCTCGCATCCACCAAACATCTCGCCACTTCCAAGTGGTTCGCCTCCGCAGCGACCGTCAAGGGCGTCTTGCTATGTTGATCACGGCTCTCTAAATCCGCATCTGCCTGGCACAGCAGCTGTACCAAACCGGCATGACCCGCCGCGGAAGCTTTCCACAGGGGCGACTGCTGCTCGGAATCCAGGACGTTGGGATCCTGCAGCTGTCGTAGCACCTGCCGCGCGGTGGCCTCGTCGCCGGCCATCGACGCGGTGAACAGGTCGTCAGCGTAGTCATTCACATAGTGTGCAAACATGATCTGAATCTCACAGGGTCTTCCAAGTTCCTCCCACATCTCGCCATCCGCGATGATGTGCTCTCCACACAGCAGACGTTGACGGAAGATGGACACCCTCCGTCGCTGAGACACCCGTCTCTTGATGAAGGAAGCTAAGGTTTCGGTGGACAAAGTCTCCAGGATCTCGTTTGAGATCTCCACTTCCAGGATGGGATCACTGGTGAAGGACACCACTCGCAGCATGGCGAGTGGACATCAACCGGTGCCTCTCTGGGTCGGTCGTCGGTCAGCGGCGACAGAGAACGTCGAGTTCAACGGATCAAAACGGAGCATGCCCAAGTATCATTCCCTTTCCCATACGTGTCGGCTTGTAGCATATTCCAGAAAAACATTGTGGGGAGGGACCTTGACCAGAATAATGCAGACGATTGATCAATAAAACCCCCCATACGAAGAGGTGATAAGAGGTGTTAATCCCAATGAGGGGGTTATTAATCAAGAGTCTATATATGAAGTACTGTATTACTGTTGGCCGCCGGGAATGAAAGGCTCATCCCATTCACTGGGTTCCAAACAGACCCGATGGTTTGTGTCAGTGGGTGCAATACCACAAACCAGGCATACCAGGCATACCAAATCCTACAAGAAGAAAACATCTCAAGAAACAAGAACCTTGAACATCCTCTAAACTCCACCATGCCACCCTTTTTTTCTTTGAGAAGCCCCAGATGTCTGATTCCTGAACTAACATTCATAAAGCATGGAGGAAGTCGTCTCCTCAAAATCCCCTCCTCATAAGGGTGAGACCATTCCCAGCCAGGCTGTGTGCCCAGGCATCGGGGCGGTGATGAAAGCCAGCTTTCGGCCTAAGCCATCGCCCAGCAATCACTAGGGCGGCGAAGGATCTAAAAAGACTCTGCAAGGCACTTCAACATGCGGTAAGCAACAGAAAGAGTAGGTTAAAGCTAAGACTGGTATTGAACTCCCTAAGGAGATGGAAACGGGACATGCTTGTTCGATCTATTTAGACTAGAGCTCACTATAGCTCACTATAACTAAATAGTCACTGTTGTGGTACTTGTGGTGCATAAACTTCCATCAACGAAAAAAAATGCTAAAAATACTTCCGATGTAACATGCCATGAAAAGCGTGTCCACGTGTGATCGTTGGTCCATCCTGAATTTGCAATGCTGGTTCCGAGTCCTCACCTGCAACAAGAACAGCTTGGGCGCGGAGCCGCCACAAATAAACCCCCACCCACTCAAAAGGCTTTAATCCAAGACCTGCTGCACTGAAATCCTAACAATCTGTGGTTGTGGTTGTGAATCTGATTCTGAAATAGTTGGCGTCACAGCCAGCCGGATAGCTCCAATGATAATTACTTGGATTCAGTGATTCAATACATACTATTATATATATATATATGTATATCCGTGTTTGTATGTATTTAGTATCTATATATAATACATATGGCTATATATTATACTCGTGGACAAGCCACACCACCAATCAGCTGCTTGTGAATATACTCGCCAGGGTGGTTCTCTAACATGCTCGGAACCCCCCCACCACATCCATGCCCTGGACACCATCCAAGTCGGAAAACCATTCCCTGCTACTGAAGCAAGAACCTAATAGCAATGGCCTCCACCCTGCTAGTGATGGCCTCCAACCTAGAAGCCATGGCCTCCAACCTACCAGCAATGCATTCAAAACAATGTTGTAAACCTCATGGTTGTCCGATGTAGCTGATGTTGCCATCAAACGGTCTCCTTTTTCAAGGAGCCGGTCACGGAGGCCATGAATGAAGGACGTTGAGATTGACAAATCTATGGCTTCTCAGGCCCTTTTGCCTTTGGGAACCGTGATCTGTGGGAATTAGAAGCCCGAGACGCATAGAATTAGCAGCTAGCAATTTCCATGACAAAGCATGCAGCTTTTGATGATCCTAGATTCCTGTGTCGTTCTCCAATTCCCAGGCCCACATTCAGCCCTCCAGGTTCAGCGGGCCCAGAACCCACATCAGCATCCAGTAAAAGCTTGCGACCCTGGAGCCTGCCAGCCATTTCAGCAGGGAATGCCCCCAAGTTCCGGACCCCGTCAGTTTGAACGACAGGGTTGGGGGCGCAATCATGAAAGGTGGAGCTAGATTTGGCCAAATTGTGTTTGACAAGCGGCGTCCAGTTTCCTAGAGTGCTTCAAACGTTGAGAGCAGAACAATCTACGAGTCTACTCCAGGAGCATTGGTTGACCACCCTCTACTCTTCCGACCCCTCAGCTTGGCACGAGGGAGCTGGATCCAGTTCCATCGCCGTTCGTAGGCCCTGGATCCAGGGCCCAACGGGAGTGACACATAAAATTCTCAGGTTGCTTCGGGAGGCATTGGCTGTGATCGTGCGATCGAACACTCTCTTTGCAAAGCATTGTCAAAAAAATCTCTCTTCGGGGTCTCTGAACCCGAAGAGCCTTCTCTTCGTGGGAGATTAAAGAAAAAGGCAGCCATCCCTGTAAATTAGGGCAACCAGTATCAACCAATCACGTCTTGCTCAAATGAAGACGTCTCTTGCGACATCTTGTACCCCCCCCCTCAGGTGGCACCAGCAAAGGTCTGCGAACTGAAGAGATCCAATCCACTTAGCCTGAGCCTTTGCGAACTCCACGTAGGCGAAGCCCTGCAAAAACTTCGGCCGGGCTCAAAGGGGCGTGTTCTGGGAAAGGATTGGAAAGGGTCCACTACCATAGCTTCGGGCGAAGAAGAACCATCGTTTTTCAAAAAAAACACAAATTGGCCTTGCACTCGTAAACGATGTTGGGACCTATAGTACCTATAGATCTTACAACCACTGCAGGAAACTCCCTAAATCAGTGTGCTGCTCAAGGTCCTTTCAAACCATGTCAGTGTAAGGTGTTCAAAGCAATGCCATCCATTAGATGCTTGGCCAAACCAGAAAGCAGTTCCAAACTGTCACGGTTTGCCGCTCTGTTCCTTCTTTTGTGTGGCTCCTTGGCTAAAAACTCCACATCTCAAGTTAGCACATGTTGCCTTCCGAACGCCCCGCGCGAGAGGACACACATCGTACCCATTTCACGACCCAAGGGCTATCTCTAATCCCAAAATGTGAAAAATCCCATCTTCCACTGCCTCTGCTGAGAGAAGGAAAAGGATCTTCCAAACTCTGATCGGAGACGACGGGCAGAGTTTGGAAAAAAAAACAAACCATGAGATCATCCCAAACTGTTGCGCAGTCTCGCCGAACAACTCCCACACCATGCCTTGCTCCTCCCAGAGGTGTGGGGGATGCGAATCTCCAGCACCTTTCGCTGGTGAAGAGTCGTTGATGTAGAAATCATGCACAACCATGTGGTACAAAAACTCCTCAAAAGGGTAGATGGAATGGCAGGGTAAAATGCTATACAGTATAATGCAATTCTCCTTCTCACAGTTCCTCTGAAGGCTCCACACGCCCCCACTCTCTTTTGACATCTGCCCCTATGGCGATCACGTGCGGGCCTTTCCGCACTTGGAGAACAGCTTGGCAATATCATCTTCAGCAGCATCATAGGGAAGGTTCTTCACAAACAAACGTCCTTAGCCATGCAAAACTGGATTTACGTGAACCCTATGAACCTTTGCGCGGTGCCTGGTGCCTCCGGCACTGGAAGCCTTATTAGCTGCCAATGGCCTGAAGTACTGAAGTCAGGTCCTAAGTTACTTTGAGAATTTGCCTAGATTACAAAAATGTAGAATACAATTATAATGCATTGGAAAGGGTAACAAGTCTGGCAAGCAGCATCGCCTTCTATGTGATTTCTTGTGGATGTCTTCCGGCAAAGCGACTAACACTCGGCCATCGTTTGCATGGTCTGTGGCGGTTGCGTGGGAGAATTGAAGAAGCAAACAAACAAGGTGCTATCTACCTACTCCTAAAGCTTGTGCAACGCCATCAAAATCAACATACCTGTTCAACCATTTCAAAGGCCTGCGACCCCGAAAAGAGTGTGCTTCTCCGGATGGCAAACGACTCATTTTGGAACACATGATTAGACTCAAATTTGGAACACATGCCCCCCAAAAAAACAAAAGAACCAACGCAGGAGACAAGAATATGGATGCAGCGCGTTCCAAAACGAGGTTAATCTCTCCCGGTCCAAAACGAGGTGGTTCTCTGCCTGCATCAGGTTCGACATCCTGAAGCTTTACAGCTTTGAAGTGCCTAACCACCAATACGTCCCTCATCTGCATTTCCACTGCAAAGGAACGGAACCCTCATAAACCCTCTACCGCCCAAAAGCCATCACCCCAGCAAAAAAACAAGTTGCACTGCCACCAGCCCAAAACCCTCGGAAAAAGAATGGGGACCCCTTTGCATTCCCTGTGCCCTGAGCCGCCCATATTCCCAATTTCCCCAACTTCCTCAACTTCCCCGCCACATGAGGCGCTTCAGTGCCCGAGTGGCGCTTCCCTTCGATGTCTCCGGCTGCCGCTTTGCCTCATCGAGTGGCGCATCGACACGGTTTTCGGCACAGGCGGCGCAGGCGAATGCATGCGAAGCAGAGGCCAAATCGCATAAACTGTCAGCTTGGTGAGGCCTTCAGTTGGGTCAAAGGGGCTACAGTCGGTTTGAGAGTTTAGAGGGACCCTGTTCTTGAGCCACATGGATGTCACAGGCCAATCAATCACCGCAAAAAAAAGACATTCCAGTGACGTTCAGTTCACTCACGCTTCGTCCGAATCGCTGGACACCATCCCCATCCGAACCCATTTCGAGAAAATCATCCACCCGCTGGAGCCCAAGAAAGCCAACACCTTGCTATCAGAGTGGGCTCCAAGCCACTTCGTGCTTTGTGAGGAAGTTTCATCTTTGTTGTGAGGAGGGGTCAACTTCTTGCGGGCACAGAGGTCGCTACCCCTTCAATTGCCATGAAAACTATCCACCCCAGACGAACTGATCAAATCGAGTGCCTTCGTTGGGCTTCTTGGCCGGTTCGATCTTCAGGTAGCGCCCCTGAATCCGCGCGTGGTGAGGCGAGCGGCGAGGCGAGCGCCGAAGGGTGCAAAACGGGTTAGACTTTTGAGGATGACGAAAGATTGCAAAAAGATTGCGTTTGGACTTGAGCCTGCTCTAGGTACATTAAGATATTTGATGATATTGGAAACCACCTCTTTCAGGGCACCCCTCCAGTTTGCGATTACAAAAAAACAAGTTGGGAGGCGGCTCTCGTGTTACATCCACGGCCACTTCGGCCACTTGCTTCACACGACGACGAAGCTCCGTTCTTCAACATTGGTCGCCAGTCCCCTTTATAAATGAGCCTCACCACAGAGTGCCACGGAGAAGCCGTGGCATGAGCACTGTGAGACAAGTCCCAACCCAAGATGAAACCGAACTTCTCTATCAGCACCTCCAACAGGTCACCAATTGAAACCTGTTAGGGCCTAACAACCCTCCATTTCGGAGACCTGTTGGGTTCGGTGCTGGTACCTGATCTTCATCTGCACCCTTTGCGCAAGGCCCCGATGGATCCACGGATCCAACCCTGCCAGCTTCAGAGATTTCGCCTTCTTTCCGACCTTGGCCTTATCCAGCTTCAAGGCTTTCTCCTTCCCAGCAGCTCCCTCAAAGGCCACATGCGCGTAGCCGCCTGAGCCCCGCGTGTCCGGGCTCAGGCAGCATGGCGGTGGGGTGGATCCAAGTTCGAGAGCTACTACTGTCCGAATGAACCCGCCCAGGCGTAATAGATGCCTCTCCCGCCGTGTGTGTTGAAGACATGCTCCAGGTCTGTCCACATGCCCGAACGTCAACTGTACAAACGTGGCACGGGGGGCCCTTCAACCCGAGGAGCCGGCATATTGGAACACTACTAGTCAGAGCGCATGTTCAAAAAATTGTTGCATCCGGGCACTTGTAGTATAGGAGTGACTTGTCTCAAACAAAAAATGTGATGAAATGTGGGCTTCGACGGCTGGAACGCTGGAAGTTACGAGGAACGCCTCTCAACCCTGATAGTAGTTTGGCAAAAGAATTGTTTTCAACAACATCCCCAAACCTTGCCGTCACATAATAGAAGATATATGACGATATGATACATAACTCAATATAACTACTTGAGATATATACTTCGAGTATACTTCTATATGTATTTCTTCTACATGCGCAGCACCTCCTGGATCTTCCACCAGCCCAACCACTCTCCCGCTCTCCGGTCCCACCCGGGCGCCCCCCCACGCAGGCGCCCCGAGTCCTGCCAGGTGGGCGCGCGGACCTCCCGCACAGGGCCTGGCGGATCGGTTTGCTTCAGAAAGCCCATTCAGAGTACACACACACATATATATATATATATTATATATATATACTGCGTTTAGTTGTTTCTTTTATGTTTTTTAAGAGTAGCTTTTGATGGTTCACAATTTGCTTTACTATTTATGGCCAGCTTCGGCCACCGCTACGACCAAGAACATGTGGCAGTCTTTGGAGGCCTGTGATGGGTTGATGGCGGCGAGTTTTCCCTGCCTTTCTTGCCATATTTATTGCATCCTAAAAGCAGAATTCGGTTGGAGCGATACCTGCCGTAAAGGATCTGAGTCCGGTGCACGGATAATATGCCCTAAAAGACTTGCTCTTTTGTTGTTGTAATAAACACTAAAAAGTTTGAGACAACGATCATCATTCGGAAAGGCAATGTGAGATGCTCTCTGTATCACAGCTCTGTTAGTGTTGGCTCTATCGATGAAAGTAGGCGCTAGCCCGAGAATTTTTTCTCAGGCCACGCAGCTGGAACGCATCAATTTTCTTCAATAAAGCAGAGGTCAAAAGTACTGCTCAAGTCCGTAGAATAATTTGGATCGTATCACTGCATCAAATATGATGAATTTCCACTTCTGACTGGCAAATGATGCTTTCCAGTACGGCGCCATACTTCTAACCTCTTGCATTTTGTTCAATACTTCATGTTTTATGTTAACTTCACGGTTGATTTCATTTCCTGGATATGACGCCTTGAACTTTTTGGGGAGCGGTTCGCGGTTATCAAAATGGACTTGGCCTTCGTTGTTCATTCGTATCGCCACACACTTTTCCTTGCTTAGTTTGAAGCCGTCTTTTGCAGAGATTGTTTCCGTCAACTTCAAACGTTCATTCAGGGCTCGGTTGTCCGTTGAGAAGAGTATGGTCCGTATGGTGTCGTCAGCATAGTATACCATATCAAATGCCAAACCAGGAATGCGATTGTTCAGAACTCTATTACTGAGGGACGTCCTGATGTCATGATCAATACAATTCATTACTAAGATGAACAAATACGGGGATACGGGGCAACCTTGCCGAATCCCCGATGTTTATCTCATAGTCAGACGTGCCAAACAAATCTTTTATATAAAAGGTGGGTTTGGAATAACAATCCCTTCTTACTTCGCAGTAGTGGTGGCTAAAGCCCATTCTCTCCAATGCTATTATGAGTTTATCATGTTGGATTTTATCGAAAGCTTTTTCCCAATCAAGCATAGCCATGCTCAATTTTGTTCCCTTTATTTCTGCAAAGTCTTGAATTCTGCGAATAACATAAATAGCGTGTGAAGTGGACTTTTGGGGGCGGAACCCAAATTGTGTGGGACATAAACTACTTTCCAGAGCTTTCTGCATTCGCTGTCGGATCATGATCATGTACAGTACAACTTGTAGATGCTGCTTAATAAGGAAATTGGCCGGTAGTTTGCGGCGTTGTATGTTTCTCCCGTTTTGAAAATAGGTACCACTCTAGCCTTAAATAACGCATCCGGGGCAACCCTCTGGCCCCACCATGTATTTATCATTGTCAACAAAATCTTACGGTTGTCATGATTTAGCCATTTCAGCAATTCCATTTGTAGTTCGTCCGGGCCAGGTTCTAAGTGACCAATCCAATTCTTCAGCAGTAAAAGGGGTTTCATCTGCATTGTTATGGGGCACTACTGCAGTGATGCTGGGCATTCCCACATGACGGCGGCGAGTACCTGCCTAAATCTTGCTGCTCATGATTGAATTGGCTGTGCACAACTATGAGAAGACATGAAGCAACTTTGTAGTGGGACTCGTCACGGCATGACAATTTTTAGTTTTGGTGGATCACCCCCCTGGCATATACAACCCCAGAGGGCCGCCACGGCTGCTTTTGGAGGGTCAGCAGCATTGGCTGGCTGAGGGAAACCGCAGAAGCCAAGGAAACACCTTTGGAGTGGTGGGGGCATGTAGGGGCAGGCTTGAAGACCAGCGACGACTTGCAAACACCGACGGCAAAAACGCTGTCGGCCACCGTGCAGGGAACGGGAACCCAATAACACTGCTTGAAGTCCTTTCCAATTTCCAAGCAGATTTGATTTGTTCCTTTAATGATTCTTTGGTCATCCTTATGTGGCTGATTGCCTCATCTGCGATCCAGAGATCTTGGACCACTTGGACCGCCAAAACCATGAAGAACTCGGGCGCCCCCGAGTTGCGCCCCCCGGCCACACTTTGAGAAGAACTCGGTGACCCGCTCGATGGACCAGTCCTCAGCCGTGTGAAGAGCACCGTGTTACGGCGCTGGGGTGCGGTGTGGTGGACGCAGCTGGGTGGCTAACGGAGAGGAGCACTTCGATGAAACTCTGAAAAAGGCGCTGCCTGAAGGCAGAAGCCCTTGGGCCCGAAAGACGGCCCTCAGACGGCCCTCAGACCCCCGCCCTCAGGCGGGGGCAACTTCCTTGAAGAAGCATGAGCTATCCTGCGTCCAGTTGCTAGAAGCTATATAACAAGTTCCTAGTAGCCAACTAGTTGCCCTTAATTAAGTAGGAGCGGGCAAAAAAGACATCTTCACAGGATTTGCTGGAGGCACAAAGGTCCCTCCCTGATCGGCACCGTCCTCTCTGAGGGGTCCCGACGTACGGCACGCCGTCCACAAAGACAGTGAAGTCTGTGGGAGGCGTTTGGGCGTTGGACATGTGGCCCTCCCCAAAATAGGGAGGATCCCCGTGCTGAAGTAACAAGTTGATCCGAGCGACCCTCGGCATAAGAGTTGAGTTGGTGAAAGCTCCAGAACAAGATGGAACAAAATGTGCCGGAAAAGAATTGTGATGATGCATGACGATTCTTGGACTCGAATCCTGGACATGGGGAATGGCCTAAGGTAGAGGGGGTGACAAATAACAACACACCGGCTTTCTTCAAAACACCCTTGACACACCCTTTAATGTGATTGTTTGAGCAAATCGCATGAAACACGATCCCATGAAACCCAAATTCGGTCATTGTTCGATTTATAATGCGCGCCTGAGAACAAACCAGGGTCAAACGTCTATCAAATAGTTTAAGCAAGGCCTTCTGCAGCCACAGGTTTGGGATGGACGTGAAGACCCGCCGGGCGTAGTGCTTGCCGACTCCACTTCATGTCCTTCGATGTTACTGACATGTCACCCCCACTCCCTGCAGACGAGGCAACAGAAAATGACTCTATGAAAAAGCTCCTAGTAGCGTCCTTGCTCCTAGTAGCGATGCCAGGAGCCCCTAGTAGCGTCCTTGCTCCTAGTAGCGATGCCTTTTGCTCCTGGAGGTCCCAAAATGCCCCAAATTCCCGCAGTGGGCGCCTTCACTGACAACCTATGCGGATGCGCGGAGGCAGTCTCTTTTTCTTTTCGGTTGGGGTGACGCGGCCGGTTGGCCGAGGGTCACAAAAATCCGAAAGAGCATTGCTGGGAATGGTTGAGATTCGTGTGAATAGGGCCTATTGTTGAAGAGAGCCAATGATGATGCATCTCCAGAACCTGCGAAATTGGGCAACTTGATGTTGTCACTTCGAATATATAACTAAGTCTACAGTAAGTGTTTTTTGGATCCTTTCCTTGTGAAATGAAGCAGGTTCGCTTTTAGTGACAATCAACTTTGGCATGAAGAACAAACCTGCCACAACAATCTCGCACCTTCTCAGCTGTCTTTGAGCTGGAAGCTGCCTGAGCTCCTGAAGGATGGGTGGAGGAAAAAAAACACGCGTTTAGGAAGGACATGTCCCCGAAATCCATGCGAATAGATGGCTTAAGAAGTATTTGTCATGAAATATGATGAAATATCAGACACGTATATCAAATTTGGTGGTCATCTATGTACCTTCACGCAATCCGAACCATGTTTGGTCCCTATCGGGTCCTATCGATTGTAAAGGCCGCTTTGGCCCCCCAATGCTCATTGAACATTCATGAATCGCAAGAGCCCACCCAGCAAATTTGGGGACGCCGCCTCTCATCACGTGCTGCCTCTCATGAGCTACAGCAGACTCTTGGCAACAAATAAAGTGAATGAACAACACCTCGATCGAGACGCATCCACATCATCCTCCTTTTTGCTTTTTCGCCTTGCCAACGGCCTGAGCGTTGAGGTCAGCAACAGGGGAGGTCATCCAAGACATGAAGCCCTAGCAACCGGCACAAAGCATGACATTCTGACTTAGATTCAGGCTTCGGAGGACTTACTTGCAGGAGCTTCCGTTAAATCGGCTGCTCCTCCCACCGCAAGAAATATCACTCTTATTCTCAAATTGCAACCAGGTGCTGGGTCATCAGACGCTCCTGCTTTACCAACAGCCTAAGTGTTCTGGAGGTCAGTGATACGTTCTTAATGTGCCCGGTAGCGGAGGTCATTCAAAACATGAGGCACAAAGCATGAAATCGCTCGCTTGGGTGAAAGTTGCTCCATGACAGCTGGTGAACCTGTGACACGG